AGATTTTTGTGTGATCTGAATGTCCTAGGTTTGATCTCCTTTGTGGTTGCTGATGTACACTATTGAAGAATCCCATACTAGATATATTTCATAAATGTTCTATTTATTCATTATATGAGCAAACATTATTCAATGTCATACAATCTTCGTTTTTATTATGTGAATAACGAACACCTGTCGCTTAAATGGTTAGAATAATTTGTTTGGTAACCCTGCTATTTAAAATCAACCTACGGTTTTAAACTTATGACTCAGTGCTTATGATGAATTAATTCTACAAAGTATCTTGACATAGATACATATAACCCATCTTTCCTACAGATATAAATCAATTTAGTACAGATTTAGTGAAAAACAAAAGAATATCTTGATTTTATTTTTTAAAATACTTAACTAATCCAAATAATGGATAATCCTTTCTGTACCTTACTTCAATGTGCTTGAATCACCATAGCAACAGAATTTATGTCTATATTTTTGTGTATTCACCATAACTCAGATTAAATTCAAGCACACGTGAGGTTGTCACTGGATTAGTGATAGTTGTAGTGATGATAATGGTGGTGATAACTGCAACACAAAAAACGGGCTGAACAGCATTAAGACAATGGATTAGCTGACTTGACCTTGATTGTGTTTGCATGTTTGGTGAATATATGTCTTAATATTTATTATGAAGTCCGTTAAATACAATGTGTATTTGTATGTTATGGTGGGGTGAGAGATAAAAAGCGGTAGTTGGATTTTTACGTTGTATCACTATGGCCTTTAAGTAAATTATGCATACATATGCATCTTTGTATAAGATGACTAGACATCTAGGTATCTGCCTTTTAAGCACATAAGTAAAAATCGACATTTATAAAACTGTTACCAAGTAATCAGTAAAAGTTATATTTTCTTACGATGTGACTGTCAGTGAGTTATACTGCACAATTTTAATAGACTATAACACATAAACGTAAAAGTATGTGCTAAACTGTTTGTTATATGGATATTTTAAAGTGCACAAGTGAATCAGTGTTCTATTCTTGAACCATAAGATTCCTCAGTAGGTTGTATTTGTCAGAAATTGAACTTCATTTGTTAATTATGGGGAAACCAGGAAACAGTGAGCATTTGTACCGGACTCGTCAACAGAGTGCATTCATCACCACAACGGCGGTTAAACTCAAGATCTTCGGATCTGATAACAAGGGTTTATTATTCAAACCATAAAGTCAGCATCCAATGTATAATATTTATATCTCCAATCAATTTGTGAGATGTCACATATATCTCCATATGTTATTGATGAGAAACTGGCTCAGTCAAAATCCGACTGATATATATATATATATATATATATATATATATATATATTAATAGTCTGTTCGACTAGTTTAGGTCAATCATGTGATTCAATGTAAATCTAGGCCTTATCTAGTTCGATCATTTATCACATGATACGTGATGGTATTTGGATCATAAACATAATTGTACATCTTTAAGGTTCAATTCAATATGAAATGTGATATTCATTAGGCTATGATTGATTTGATCTTTATCTCTCTCTCTCGCTATATATATATATATATATATATATATATATATAACGATTCCGATCATTATCTTACTTGAAAATCATAGTAACAATGGATCTACATTGTTAATATATTTTTTAAACAAATTAATCTTGTTTATTCATGTTTATTCATGGAGTTAACAACAACAACAAATAATAATAATAATAATAATAATAATAATAATAATAATAATAATAATGAGAAAATTATAAAGTTCTGTAATTAATACTATTAGTCATGAATTAATTTAATCTAATTTTATTTTTAATGAAAAATGATGAATCATCTTGTATTAGTTGGTTGCACCTTTTATTTAAAGCAGAAACTATGAGGAGTCCCATAATAGGACGAAACGGCCGTCCAGTGCTTCCAGGTTTTCTATGGTGGTCTAGCTTCAATTAACTCATGATTTCAACTATGAAAATACTAAATTCCCCACAAAATCCCTTCTGATCTAGAAACAATTGTCCAATAGGAATATTTTTTTAAAAAAAGAGTTTGTTATCCATTGAGTTAAATAATAAAGTATATCTAACGAATGAGTTTAAAACAAGATAGCATACTCTGCCTGGATTACATTGTTAACTTTAAAATTTGTGACATAACATTATATTTAGGTAATTGATTTAAGATGTAACTCCGTCTGTAGCTCTTCTAGAGTTACTACCAGTCCCAAGCCCGGGGCAAAGGAAGAGGGTTGGGTATGGGGTTAGCGACTCCATCCAATTGAAAAATTAACTCGTTAAAAAGCGCTAATCAGAAAAAATAATTCAGACCATTTAAACCCTGCCCTGGGAGTTGAAAGAATAATTATGATGCCTCATGATGAAAGCCGAGATTTTTCGAAGTCACGAGACCGATACCTCTTCTAACAACCGAAGCAACATTCTTTATAGGTACGTGAAGCGTCCAAACAATGTGGGAGACCGGGAAGACCAGTCAAATAGCAATGCCTAACTTGGAATCCGGAAGGGAAGCGGAGAAAAGGAAGGCCAAATAGCACATTATGCCGGGAAATAGAAACAGATATGAAAAGGATGAATGTTAACTGGAAAGAACTGGAAAGGATTGCCCAGGACAGGGTTGTATGAAGAATACTGGTGGGCGGCCTATGCTGCTCCACGAGGGGTAACAGGCGTAAGTTAGTAAATAAGTGATTTAAGATGTAACAGAAACTGATTAATTATAGTCTTGAATATTATCAAAGAAAATAGGAATTTACAGACCATTATGAATCATAACTTTCGTTTACCAATTGAGTAATAAACATTTACTTTATACATTGAAAATGAGAAATAGTCAATTGACTTTTAGTTATTTGATTAAATTAATATTCATAATCTAGTTGTAGAATTTTATGCTAAATGAGTTCATATTGTACGAACTTGATGTCACGTATGTGGTAGATCATCTTCCTTGAAATCTAATAACATTGATGTGAAGCTTTCATGAGGTTGTATCCCAAAACATTATGAATACAATGGATTAGTTGTTTAAAAGGAAGAAGATAATATTGCTTTAGAGTGAACAGTTTTATCCGTTCAATGATAGAAATCAGTGAAGAGAAGATTAATTTGGTGATACTTTGGGTATCAAGTAAAATATATCACGATTTGCAAAGTGGATAACCGAATTGACGTTGTTACTGTTTAATCGCCTAGTATCGACTTCTTTAGTTCGTGAAGGCAAACTCAGTCAACATCATCTCTTAACAAAATTTATCATCGTACATTATTTACCGCTACATTACATTTATTGTCAGTATTACAATCGGAATTAATACTGCAATAAAGCAAATGGATGGGTTACATTTGTTTTCTTAATATAACATTTATTCAGTTAGATGTGGACAAATATTTTAAATAAAGAATTCTATGAACATAGATACATTGGAAGGATGACATATAGCGACATGTCTTTCTAAAATTAAGATAGTGGAGTGGATGAATATCGTATTGTGATCAGGAATCATTTTGCTTATTATAATGCGTAAAAATAACCCTAAGTTTACGTTTATTGATTGAGATGTGAATTTTGAACCATCGAAGTTCGTAAATGAAAACACTTGTCCACAGATATAAGTTAATCAAAGAAGAGAATTGTAAAATATGTACTTCATCTGTGTTGAATAGAATTTAATCAATCATGGACGTTTCAAGTGTTCCTGTAACCCTTTGTCATCCTTCTCAAGCATTTGTTGTTGCATGTTTGATAGAAGAGCCAGATCATCTGCGAAGTCTAGATCGTCCAGCTGCATCCTAGCTGTCCACTGTCTCCCATGCTTCCCCCGAAATGTTGACGTCTTCATAATTTATTACAGATTTTTATACAAGTATTTTTGAAATCTGTTGAAAGCTCTTTCTACTCGTCTATACAGCATAATCAGAATGTTTCTAATAGTCTTAATTGGCATACATTTTTAACATAACGGTAAAAAAAGGTAAAATAGGGTCATATATACTTCATTGTACCTTAGTTCTCCACGTTTATGTTCATTTAATCTTCCATTTAAACCTTCCAATCCTTCATTACCATTGTGTTTAAAGATAAAAGATCATGAATAAAATAATAAATTTAAACAACAAAAATTACAAGGTTCAGAAAATTATTTTCTTTCTTTTAAAAAAATAAAAGTTATAATACTATTGATTAGTGTCATGTCATCTTGATTCATGATAAAACATGTTTTTTTTTCAGAAAAAATAATCAAACTATACAAATTCACATGTTATTCGTGTGTTCATTTACACACTTGTTCACCACAACAACGGTGATCATGACAAATTTATGCAAGTAAACTAATTTTCACAACAGTGTGTGTTTAGTACAGACACTTGTTAAATGAATTTGTGTATTTATATGTATCTCTGTTCTTGTTACCATGGTGAGATAATAATTATGATCAGTAATTGTAAAACATTGCTCCTTCGTTTCTACACCACAGAATTAGTTCCACCATAGTAAACGTTAACTACTTGATACCCTACTCAAATGCTATGGTTAGACTAAAGTTTATCTATTCAGATATTTCTACGAATAAAGTACCAATAGCTCAAATTACACAAAATTTACTATACAATATCGATTGAGTTAATGAACATATTGTTAATTTGATCGATAGAGTTAGATTAATTCTAGATAACAGCAGACATTTAGTCATTAGTTAACCGGCAATGATCAATTAGTGTAATGTAGTACATACTTTTTATAAATCAGTCCGTAGTGTGTTAACAACAACAAAAAAGAAGAAACAATCAATTTATAAACATAATTTTAATAATATTATTGGCAATAATAATAGCACATAATAAAATCTGTATTGTTTAATATAACTTAAAATAGAATTAGAATTTTTAGAGAAAAACAATGAATAATTGAGAGCAAATAGGAGGGGGAGGAAGGCTTAATGCACAGAGTATATATATATATATATATATATATATATATATATATATATAAAGGGAATAAGTGAGAAAATGGGGGACAGAAAGAAATAAATCTGGGTTGTGTTAAACAATGTAGTTTTTTTGTGTTTTTTTTATTGATTTAATAATTGTTCCATCAAATAATTGAAAAAAAAGTTATTATCCAGTTTTTCCAATATATTCTCATTATTCAACGAATTGATATTCTGAAAGAAAGTTGAAGAAAATAGGAGAAAAATCAGTACATACTACTAATAATAATAATCATCATTCATTTATCAAAGAAAATTAAAATACAGCATCGCTCAACCAAATTAAGATAGTTTTATTTATTATTTTGTTTAAATGATATAATAGTCAGGTTGTTTGACTAAAGATTCAAGAGACATTGTGTTTTTTTTTTCAGTTCAAGGATTCATCAACATTGTGTGTGAAATAAATGACCTCCTTTACATATAATGTATGAGAAGACTTTAGATTTTGTATCAAACACTAAACTACCTATTAGAATTATCACTTCATATCATTATATCGAAAATGAACTCATCAATGAAAATTTATAAAAGGTCTCATAAGTATGAAAGAACAGCTTAACGACATATTAATTTCTAAATGATATTTATTACAATAGATTGATCTCTGCTAGGCTAATACCATTGAAAACGATGAAACATTCGACAGCTATTTCGGTCTAATATGTGACTTCTTAATAGCGCACACTCATGACTCACCACAAGGAACGAACTCAAGATAAGGTCTGGAAACAAATACTTAACTATTGTTAAATAGCTAGGTTAATGGTATATATAAACTAACTAAATATATATACATATATTTTCTTGATTTAAATCACTATTAACTTGGATGAAATATAAACTTATAGCAAACAAAGAATCTACTAAGAATGGTTGAATAAATACGGATACAGGCAAGTTGTATGAAGAATACTTTGTAACCTTGACCGTGACAAAAATAAGACTAACCTACAATATATATATATATATATATATATATGCCACGATGATTCACCTTAGTTACTTGTAAAAAGATTCAATTAACAGACGAACAAAAATGTCAGCATGGCAACTAAAATATTATTATTTAGACTGGTAAAAATAAGAGGATGTTTACTAATAACATGTTTACAAGTTACCAAAATATAACTAGCAGATATTGATTATCTGTGTTACTGGTGTATATTTATATTGAGTGAATATGTATTGTTTTCATTACCAATAGTATAATTATCATGTTTATTACTCTTAAATAACAACAGTTGTTTAATTGATTATTCATTTTCTACAACTCAGCAAATGACATTAAACACAATATGATTAGTTTTGTACAAAGATCCTGTTGAAATGACAACAAAACGGAAAATACTTCTGGAAATATATCTGAAGTTTTATATACTAAAAATTTGAAATAATGTTGGCAATTATTGTTTGTTTTTTTAACATAAATGTGATCTTTAGGAAGAATTGTAGTTATAGAATAGTTTTCATCATGAACTAATCGACATCAATTGGATGTTTTGTTCTGTTCAAGTTTGGAACATCTTTTGATTACTACACATATTACATATTACTACACATGGACTGTGAAGTTAGTCATAGTGTATTATATATATAATATTATAAGTGCAATAAAGTCAAGAATTATTTAAAAGATCAAACTCGCAGTCGAGTCACTAGTTGATATGGAGGATAACCCCTAAGGTTAAACAGACAGACAAGCAGATATACCAATTTTGAAGTACTTCACCTATACAAACTACGTTAAATTATTATATTACAGTGGGAAACAGAAAAGAGAGAATCAATGAGACAATGGAAAAGACTGTGAAATAAGCAAGTAGTATGTGAGATGACAAAGGAAGGGCATGTAAGACATATGATACTTTTACGTAAGTTGATCCAAATTTATAGTCTTATCAACTGACTTATTCAGTGTTCGGTAATCATTGTATCTAAGATGAGTACTGCTTACCTGGAAACTAGATATTTACTCTGCCTACAATGACTTATTGTTTGTTATTAAATCGTATTATAAATCGTCCAAGGCATTTAGACGAACTTTGTCAACAGTTCCGAGTTGTTTACACAAGTCATATGTAAAAGAACATGTTTATAATGGATCAGGCTAATATTGATGATGGTGGGTATCCAATAGGGGCACCCCTCACCAGTGGCACTTTATATGAAGATTCCTTAAACACTCTCACCTGAAACCCGACTAATTACTGGTAAGTTCATTACTTTTAAGTTCTAATTTAGACTGATTTTTTTTCTCATAAACAGGGAACAATCCATAACTAAGTTAATTCTATTCTGTTTGTATCTTCCATTTATATACTGAAGACAGTATCTCAATTTTGCAACCTTGAATCCACATACTGAAAACGCATACGAAATTAGACCGTTAAGTTTCAGTGTATCGTTTCATTTTTTCTTTTTCCCGTTTCTGAAATGTTTGCATTAAAAATAAATATAAATATTTCCACTGTATCTTTACTATTATTATATTTCTCAAGTATTCTCAATCAATATAAAGAGTTAGTTGAAGAAAATAAATATGCTCCCTTGGTGTTATGTGTATTGAACACATCCTGTTCCATTTTTTATCCCACATGTCAGTTAAGAACACGTGCAGGTCAGTACTACAAATATAAACCATAATTGAATACAAAGAGATACTGTATGTGTGTATGTTTATGTAGGGAAATTCTATACTTTTAAGAATTCATTTATCTGTAATCTATGCGAATATGTTTTGATATACAGAAATATATATATATATATATATATATATATATATATATATGCACAATACAAATAATAAGAGGGAGAATAAACAGTCAATTTAATTAGAAAAACATAAAAAACCAGATGGGTAAATATGTGAAAAAGAAAATTACCACCATATGGAATGAACATATACATGAGAAAGTAGGAAGGTTAATTCCTATTAAACATAGTCCTTTAATTAATAGGGATTGAAATATACAAAAATAGGCACGATCCTCTCTTTCTGCCAATCAACTATTTTAGATTGGCAGGGGGTCAAGTTTAATCACGCATATATACACAAAGGAAATTTATGCATCTGTCTTTATTGTTAAGATGAATGAGTCATAAAAATATGTTTCTTTTATTAGCTAGTGGTGTGGAGGGTAAATAAAGAAATAACGAATGAAGTGTTATCAGGTTATGACCTTGATGATAATCTAACTTGTAAAGCAAACAAAAAACTCTCGTGAATGTATCATAACAAAAAGGAAATATCCATTTTACAAACATTTAAGTTAACTTCAAGTATATAACCAATTCTATAAAAAAGTTATTTCTTCACAATAATCATGTTTTTTGTGAGAAATAGTGACTAATGCACTTCAAACGTATCACATTGGATGATAATCGTCGTACTGTATCACAAAATTGACCGAATTGGGAAATATGGGCTGTTTAATTAGGCTAAACCAAGAGTAGGTGAAATGTAACCACTACCAAAGGCTTTTTGATTTTCTGGGTAGTTTGTTTGTAAGAGATTTCGAAACTTGGATAAAGGTGCTTTCAGAATATTACATACAATGTATGTGAGATTGAATTTGGAATATAGGATTCAAGTAGGAAGCGGATATGTTTGATTGAGTTCAAGGGTTAGGAACTACAATAAAGAGAGGTCTTCTGACTTATAAAATGAAAATGGACGCCTTAACCTATTTCCGTAAGCTAAGAGTTGATCTAACTCAGGGTTTAATTTATGGTTAACGATAACCATGTGATGTGTCCTATCTACTTTCATTTCAGACTGATAATCAGAAGAAATTTCAAGAACCAAGATCAAATCATTCAAGTTTTCAGTTTTGTTTACTGTGTTGGGTATGGATTACTGGGACTACAACTTAATAAATGATATCAACAATTTCTGTCGGAATATTCTGAACGACATTGAATAATCAGCATAAGTTTTTTGATTATTTATTCTTACCACTGAAGAATATAGTGCCAATTAGTAGGTGCACAGAATATCAAACTAGATAAGTTTTGATATGAATTTTTTGACATTGAATAATCAGCATAAGTTTTTTGATTATTTATTCTTACCACTGAAGAATTTAGTGCCAATTAGTAGGTGCACAGAATATCAAACTAGAATGAAACAACTGTCAAGTACTGGTTCGGTTTTTCAACCACTTTTTTAAAAAACAGTCTGGAGTTCCAAAACGACCTGTCAATTGTACCATTTCATCGTGAAACTAACAATCAATAATAAGCTTATATTTAACATTTAAAGAAAAGGGTGAAATAAAATTAAATTTACCTTTATGGTTTTTTTTTTCTTGAAAACCATGAATTACTTCATAGATTGTCGTCGTCGTTTAACAGCGAAATAATCTGTAAAATAAAAGTGGAAAATAAAAAGAGTATATTATGATTTCTATATCATTATCAAGTATTTAAAAAGGTGATTGAAACGAAATTTCAGGATAGAATTAATCCGTTTAAATATATCTGATAGTTAAACACTTGAAAGTAATGATCTAATCATATAATCTTCTTAGAAGTCAAGTAACTAATGATCGTTATCATCGAGTATTTTGCATGAAATAAGATAAACCTCATTTTTATATTAGTAATAAATCAAAACTATAAGTTATACTTATTAACGATTGATTAAGGTATTACATAAAAATAGGGAGCACCGTAGATACGTTATATCCTAGCATTGGGCTCCTTAGCAGTGTTCATCCGCGTCTTCACTAATCACATATTATGAAAAAAATGTTGTTCGGTGCTCATTGGTTTTCAGTAACACCTGAATTGAAATCGATCTGTGATGAATATGGCCAATAAGCTGAATTAATCTACATAAAACTCTTTCAATTGAATTAAAACTGTTTTTACGGAAAAAACTTACTGACATCCACTAATAAGGATCATCAATACTATTTTGTAATTTCACTTCCCTTACATCATATAGACAGGTATTCCATAAATATATTATCAAGTCAAACCTTGGTAATGATACCTACTATAAGTATAGGTAAATCAAAAATAGTTTATACAGTTTAATATTTATCCAGAGTTCAATGTATACTAATACAGTGTTTTCTGTCTGATTGTGAATTTTCACTGACTAGACTATTTCAAGCTTTCATTTCTCATCTTACTTTTAAAAAATATCTCAGTCAGTTGGTCAGTCACAACGTAGAACCTGGTACGTATGTACATTGATTCAAATTTCCGTAATCCCATTAACAATTAGATATGAAATTGTCAGATCGAATCCCATAATACTAGAAATAGTAACAGTATAAGGGGTAAGAGACAAGGTTGAGCATCGAAGATACCATCCCACAAGAAATGAAAACACTAAAAAAGGTTATGAGGTATTTAAAATCTCAGAATTTGGAGAAAGACAAAGACTGAATACACCTGAGTCATGTTATTTAAATTATCTAACCAATAACACGAAATTGTTATGATTTCTTGTAACAGTATGAAGTGATTTCTGTTCTCTTAGTCTTACTGTTCCTTATGTTTTGTTTGAAATTATGAAATGATTCCGCTGTTTTATCTTTTTTGAAGTTTAAACAAATAATAAATATATCTCAGAAGTTTTTGTGGATATTATAGTAATTTTAATAGTTGAGATCATGCTCACTAGTGACCGGCTCCAAGAGGTATTTCCTGGAGTTCTAGTGAGAAGTAGTGACCAGTGGCGTACAACCAGGTCTGTTGTGATATAGTGACTCACTGAAGACAATGGTGGGTGCGTCGCTCAATTTCGTGAATCGGTTGAAGCTAGACATCAACACCGTTAGATGCCGACAAGTTCAGTAGTCTAGAGGTTAGGCGCTCGCGTGAGACTGATAGGTCTTGGGTTCGAATCTCGTGAGGCTGGATCGTGGATGCACACCGTTGAGGTGTAGCACAATAGGACGAAATGGTCGTCCAGTGTTTCCAGGTTTTCCATGATGGTCTAGCTTCAATTGACTCATGTTCTCAACTGTTTTGTTTGTATGTCATTTTAAACTCGACTAATGTAAATTTACAAAAACGGTTGGTCATACATCTTTCGCTATTCTGATAATTTAAGGGATATTTATAAGTGCAAGGAATCGTGTTAACTTTCGAATGACGCTTACATTATTTTTTACACACTGGATTTGATTAATGCACGTAGCATTTTGTGGTATTCACAGTCATTATATCGTAAAATACACTGAAATTATTCTTCTTGTTCAATAACTGTACAAAATTATCGTTATTACGTCTTATACAATTACCATTCTAGTAAATAATTCATAATAATTATAACCTTTACTTTTAATAAAATTATTACATATAATTTAAAAACAATTCTAAGTAAGGGCTTGTGGAAACTGTTGAATTTCATTGAGATTATGAGCCGATTTAAGTTAGACCATCACTGAAAACTTGGAAACATTAGACAGCCGTTTCATCCTAATGTGGATCTCATGCACGAGACAGACGTTCCTGGATTCGAGTCCTGCATGCAGGTTCATGGACAAGCACTACAGAGGAGTCTTGTACTAGGATAAAAATCATCTCACGATTTCAATAAAAATGATTTTAACTGATACAGTCATAATCGAAATGAATTGGATAATTATAATTCTTGTTAATTAAATACCAATCATTAGCGAGATAGAGTGAATTTCATAATTAATTTAGATATTTAGTTAAAAATTGTGAATTTTCAAGTTCATCACTAATAGAAATAAAAATTGGATAACAATAGAAATAGGTTCATCATTAAGAAGATTTAAGCATTCGATCAACACTAAGAAGGACTTGACACACATGACATTGATCACCACCCAGTGATCAATCAATTATGATTACAACTACCTAATACAAGTTTATATACAGGTCTATGAATCATATGAAATGTATCATTCATAACAAATGATTGTATGGCAGTAAATCAATTTAAGTTTTAACCTGTAATCAAATTAATTCTATGGAAACTAGTGCATAAACCAATGAGTATTACTATCACACTTAGAACTTGGGCATCATACATTATTTTCTACTTTGTAATTATTCATATTGTTGATCATCTTTATAACTTTCATATATTACCAAACTCTACTGAAACAACTGTTCAATATTCTTAAATTTCAAAGTTTTTCTAATTAGTTTTTGAGATATTTTACATGACACAATGTACTTGTACAGCAATTCTCCATACTGTGGATGGAATCAAAGGCTTATGAATAATACAGAACTATAAATTAGTTGTAATGATCCTACAATTTCGAGTTCATAAACTATAATTGTTTTTCAATAATTGACTAAATATACAGAGATATCAGTATTAATATCAACTATTTTTATAAATTTTACTAGTTAACCATTTAGAAAAAGAAAGGTAGGAGGAAAGTGACTAGACCAACAAAACATATTGATTTCCGATATTATTTTAAGGTGACTAACCGAAAACAAAAAATAGAAAACTATAATACAACTCTAGAAGAATTATTAAATTACCTGTTACTTTAGGCCCAGATTTTTTCAAACTTAATCGATCAGATTTTATCAATTTAATTGAATGTTGAGAAGAGGAATTCGAACTAGATGGTAACATTATATTATTGCTACTATTATTTGAACGGATAATTATAGGATTCACAGGTAATGTTGTTGTTGGTATTTCTGATAACTTTTCAGTAACTTGTGATATGCTGTTGACTTTGTATGGTGTAGATGATGATGTTGGCGGTAGTTGGTTCGGTGTTATTGTGACAGTTGACTCTGTCGTTAAAGGAAAGTTTATTTCAGATTTTTGATTATCATTTAATAAAGTATCAGTATTAGATAGGCTGTGTGATGAATTAAATGAGTAAGTGAGATCACTATTAGTAGACTTTTCGCAGAGTTCCATACGTGTTTTTTGAGCTACTGACATTGGGAGACGTCGAAATGCTTTTAATTTTCGTGGAGATTTTATATAGAAACTTGGAGGTGATTGAACAGGTTCTAAAATAAATTCATTTGTGGAACTTGTCTGTAAATTTCCACTATGTAATTGATGTACAGAAAGTGGTTTCCGAATTTTATTCTCTAATACAATATTAGGTGGTTGAAAGTTCCATTTATTTTGGAAACGGTCTAAATCTTTACGTATAATTGTCTCTAAAGTTTGTTGAATACGTATACATGATACAGGTTCACCAAACAACCTTCGACATAAATGAACCGGTGCAGTGATACCAGCAGCAACCGACATTCCCAAAGAGAAGAGGTAACAACTGATCGTTACAAGCCAGGTTAAGGAATATATAACGAAATACAGATAGATGATTGGTCAATAACTACTGTAAAATGATTGGCTAACGGGATAATCAGTATATACTACTGTACATTATTTAAGTAGCTAAAGAAATAGATCAGAAAAATATGGAAATTTACAGGAACACGGCAGATTCACACTGTAATCACTGATCTATGCTTTAGAAATTCGAAAATTTCTTATCATGTAAAGAGTATATTGACGAGGTGTTTACTTTTAAATGAGTACTGGAAAAACGTTAACTCATGTGAACAACCTTCTGAGAATCAGAAGGGTCATTCATGCACAATATTTATTTGTATTTAAGTAGGATTTTGGGACCTTAGGAAATTATGGATAGTTTATGGAGCTTTTAGCATACCAAATTCTTAAAAATGTATTTTGCCGTGAAATGAATTATCGACGCTTCTGCTGTGTTTAGTTTTCCGATCTATCTTTCTTTTGAACCAGATTGTCAAACTATGTAGATAATTTTGAAGGTTACTTGTGGTACGGTTATGCGATCAACACAAAGTGCATCTAACACTACCTGTTCTTGTGAACTAAGTTACATAAGCATAATTTCTCGCAAAGCACTTCCGAGCAATAACATTCTCTGGGATATAAAACAATCAATAGTTTTATACACTTAGTCAACTGCAATCAATTAGTCGATAAATATTTATAACTATGTATCCATACAGCTCTATACGCCAAGCTGACAACGTATCTCACACATGGAGTATAGAGATTTAATTATAAATATTTGGTTTTCAGGCCTTATGTTTTGAAAAAAATACATAACTGGAGAGAAAACCAATTTATCTTTTTTTCCTTAAATTATTCAGAATTCTGTGCCTTTACTTTCATCTAAAAATTTTGTTGAACTAAGCGGATCAAAAGTCTTTATCAGAAAAGCAAGTGTGAATTTCTGGAGCTCTAGTAGAAAGCAATCAATGATAAGTTGACTTCAGTATCTCAGTTTAATTCAAATTGAAGGTGTAAATCATTGCATGTTATCTCAGTGACCTGTGCATTAAGTGCTAGCAGAAAGTTCATACGATTCTGGGTTCGATCTCTGGTGAGACTGTTGATGATCAATTATTATTAAGAAACCCCATAACGGAAAGCAAAAAATACTCAGTGCATTCTGGTTTTCCAAGGTTTCCTCACTACAGACTGTTTACGACGTGAAGTCATAAGTTCAATAATCTCTTCAACCGTTTATACTAACAAAATTTTAGCGATAAAACTGATATGACTAATTTGTAATTATTGAGATTTAAAATTACACAGTCCTTTCGTAAAATATAAAAATTATACATTAAATACATTATTTTCACATCCTCCTCTTTCATGATTCTTTCACTTGTCTTTATTCCGATTGCTATCTGTTCCCCTTCCTGTTCTCTTCAATTCAACCTTATGCTGGAAGGCATTACACTTCTTATTGATGCTACATACTATTTGTATCTGTCAGCATAAGTAACACATACCACAATTGGAGATGAAGTTCTTTAGCTTGTTTAATGTGAGTTCATGAGTGTGATTTGTTGAATAGTAGTGAATTAAATTTAAAAAAAGTTTTCTAATTGTTCTTCAGTTATCATCATTCTATGATGAAACTTACTTTTAAAATTGAACCATATAAACCATTTGTTTTAAAGTACTAGCAAGATGTTTTTATAGTCCGTCTGATAGAAAAGAGTAACAGGGGTAATAAACTGGTCAGTTTATTAGCATAATTTTAGTCTGTCAAAGGGCTTGTAGTTTAATGACAAAATGAAATTGATATACTGTGTCAAAGAAACAAATAAATTGAAAGAAGCTTACTGAAACTGAGATTCTCCCTCCAAATTAACTTTGACCAAAGTTTGAAAATAATTCTTTGAGATAATACTAGTGTCGGTCGAAGTGAAACTAACACAAACATTCAGTCATCTATCTTGTACAACAGACTTGAAAATATTTTCACCTTTGTATTTGTTTCATAATATCAGTAGGTATACGTTATAAACTGTCCAGATAACGTAATTGTATGTTTACACTCTCTACTGGTTTAGTAGTGAAAACCTAGTATAAAGTCATTTGCAGGTGTAAAACATAATCACGAATATCAATCTACCATTAAATTGACATTGGTTCATTTCATTAGATGTAGCAGATTAAAGATAATTAAATGAATACTTTGAAAGAAGGGGAGTTGATACTGAATGTAATGTTACAGAAGAATGAAAAAGCGATATGGGAATATTCTTAAGAGTCAAATTAGATTTTTGCTTAGAAACCAATATGTCTAAATAATCTGATTGTATTTGGGTCAGAAAGTTTAAATCAGTATATTTCTCGTAAGTTAGGAAATTTAAATAATTTCTGGGCAGTTCTCCATTGACAAACTATTATTTTCTGTTGAAAATGATGGTACATGATTAAATTGCATAGACACTCAAGAGCTTGCATTTATTTATTTGAACACATAAACATTAATACAAGCGGGCACCAAATATATATGCACCACACAATTCACTTGATTTGTGTGTGAGCTGTGATACACCCGAGTGCCCTAACCGAAGCAGGTGGTTTTCTTAGGGAGCAACACCCGGAGCCTTTGACCTGAAGGTCTAGTCCACAAGGTAGTGTAGTGACGTCGGGAGATGCAGTCCCATGGTAGCCGGTGACCAACGATTGGTTCATACGCCATCCGTTCCATCAGGATCCTAGAGCCCATGTGCACCATTGGTTTGGAATTAGGGTTTTCCACGTGCCGGACATTCGCTTTCCGTCCTCCTAATTTCGTAAACAACATCCCCGCCGCGAGAGGGCAATGAGTAGGACTTCCCTGGTAGTGGTTGTATACGCGTGGCTATGTGAGAGCATTTCAAGAGGGAGAGCTGACTCTCCTCACCCTCGGCCGTACCAGGGCATTTGGGGTAGACATTTATTGAACAGTATATGAAATGAAAAATATGGGCTTGTGATAAGTGAAAATGTTACAATCATTTTTTATTAAATAACAGAAGACAGTTAGACTTTTATTATGAATATAAATCAAGAGGTTGCATGCTGTTTGGAGTTCTTCACCTAAGACATAATCATAGAAGTATTCTATTACGGAGACACACGTGAATTGATTTCAGGCAAGTGATTATTTATCGAAATCTGTTTCATTGGTTTTCTGCAGTGAAAATTTAACGACTGTATCGGAATATCACAGAGATAGTAATAGGGGGGGGGGTGTAGATCACACGAATTTCAGAACATTTAACAACCAGAGGTTCTCTTCAATACACTTAACAATTAACGGCTTGTAACAGTCGTTACCACTATTATCTGGCTGGTACTTTTGTTTGTGGCACGAAATCAGAGTAATAAAACGTAATTATCTCTATGATACAACCTTAACATCGGTTAAAAAAATTCATTTGGTATTGTTTTCTTGAATCTTCCCATTGATGGTTATGACTGCAATTGATCAATCTCTTATTTGCATATGTGGATCCTGTGCGGATTGTCTCGATGTTGCCTTAAGTCACGATCATTATAAGCAAAGATAGATGGTGGCTAGCAATGGAATCCAGGACATGCGTTTCGTTCTATTTGGGACTCGTCAGCTGGATGTACATGCATCCCAGATTTGATGATCACTCGGAGACTCGAACCCATAACAGTTTGCATCAAACACTGCCAGCCACCTTTGCTTATAATGCTTTTGAATTCAGGGAATATCGAGGCAGTCCGCACAGTATGCACATATACCAACAAGAGACTGATCAATTGTAGTGCTAAACATCAATGGGAAGATACAAACAAAAATTGCTAAATGAATTTAAACCTCACCCCATTGCACAAGCAAGTTGCTAAATGGATAGTGCGACGGAGTTTGAAGTAAACACTACTGGGTTCGAGTCTTAGGATGAACATCAACTCTGGGATGCAAGTACATCAGCTGATGGGTCAAAAGTAGGACGAGACTTATTGACCAGTAATTATAAAATGGTACATATATTGAAGTGACGAGATGATCAAAGTTTTTTCCTTAAAAAAAGATGGTCTAAAATCCTAATAATAAGATTTAAAACAGAAGACATCATGAATTGATTTACAAAAGGTATATGTCTGACGTAGAGCATATTTCACACATCAGAAACTGGTGAGAGTTTACACTTATATATGACCGAAAAGTTGTAGAGCAAAGTGAAGAAATTATCTAGTACAATGTGTATTTCAAGTATTCTTCGACTTGAATAAACCGGACAGAAGTAAACGATCATCCTTTTCTTTGTGACCTTTATTCTGATATTTTATTAATAAATTGTCATACGTCAGTTGGTTGGAGATTTTATCCGTAGAAACCTATTCGATTAAAGGATCAATTAATTGAGTGAACCATTAGTTTAGTCACTTCAGTAGTTTGTAATTAATTATTGTATAATAGACTAGTGTAAGGCTCTGATAAAGACAATCTTAATTTGCACGTCGATATATATATATAATAGTTACAAAACGACTCTTTATCGACGTGCAAATTAAGATTGTCTTTATCAGAGCCTTACACCAATCTATTATGATAGAGAGGATCTTTTCTTTACTGCTTGAAGGTAGATCATGATTATTTTATAGGATGGCTACCAGAAAAAAGCTAACGACAATAAAGTAAGTCACAAGGGGAAATTCTAAAATGGTAAGTCATTATTCCCACAGATATAAATCAATTTGTATAATTTCTATTGATAATGAAAAATCTTGAAGGTCGTCACATGAATGTACTAGATACATCGTGAAAATCTAGACCGTTTTTCTCTCTATCGTCAGATCAAATTTCTGATATACAGCCTATCATTTGAAAAATAATAAGTTTATTATCTTAATAAAAACAGCAGTAACAACACAGAACTATGAACCAGATTTGTATACAGTGGGAAAGAGTATGGAACATGAAAGTTAATTAGATTCAGATGTTCTTTTGCAGTTTGAATTATATTTGGTAGATTTCTATTTGTAAGGAGATAGTTGTACGTAGTATATAGATGTATAAACCACGAGGTTTTAGTAGGTAAAACAAACGATATCCACCAACCCCTTTAAAAAAAATTGGACAGTTCAATGTCTATAAGGTTAGAATGTTTTTTTGTGGTGAGAAAAAACAAAATTAAGTTAAGTTGGATTCAAATTGAATAGAACCTTCACCCCTCAAATATGATCCGTTCAGTATAGCGTTTATTGATGAAAAGAAACAAAACAATGCACTTATTACTTTACACTGATTGGTCACTAAGCAGTAATCAGTGCCATGACCATTTATTTCTTTGGTGTTAATCGAATCCCAACGAACAAGATGCAACGTGAAAAATAGTATTAGTGGCTCAATGTCTTATAAACTGTTTTGATAGTGCAAATATTTGGAGGTAATCGAAAGATAGTTTTAGGTCAGTGTGCGATGAATTCTAATCCCATAAGGAGTTTAGTTCCCACAAAGTTATAGTTTTTTGTTTTCAACAGTAAGCAAAAATCCTGGTACAGCTAAGCGCCAAAAAGCATCACACGAACAAATTGATAATAGTGAGAAAGAGCCATATGGTCTATAAATTAATGGACAACAGTATTCAACAGTAATAACAGTTGGGTTGGAAAATATTGCCTAAGGAAGACTACTGTTGCGAAGATCGTAATGTATAACTAATTAAGGATCATTCCTGGCTTTTACTCTGATTAATATCTGATGTCTAGAATTATTGAGTTGTGCAATCTCCATGACTCCTAACTGGGAGTATTAATGGGGCGACAGCTCTTCACAGCTATCTTTCATAGTACAGCGTCATGCCATAAGTTAGATACTTCTCCGTTGTTTGCACTGTCCATAAATAATGTGACTTGGTAACCGCCCAGTTAACATACGTGAAACATGTTCAAGACTCTAAAGTCGACGGCTTGAGATTGAATTAATGTCACTCCACCTGAACACATACTTTTGTACTTCAGCATTAGTAACATAGTATCGTCACTCAAGATTAACAATTTTTCATAGAAAACAATGATCAGACAAGAAATATAAATAGGTCTACCTGATGATTACCAATTGGCTTCAATCACCTAACATTTGTCTCTTTCGTAATCAATAGGATGAATACTTCTCATTAGCCATTTAAAAGCATATTGTAGAGTATGCTGTAAAAAGTTATGGATTCTATGCTACTGAATCAAGTATCGTGGATATTGTTTATTAGTGAGTTTATGAATTTAAGGTATGGATTCAACATTGCATATTTTAAACTAATTTGTGAATATATAGTCTTTGCCTCAAGGTCAATCTATTTGGCTTAAACACATGTAAACAGCTTTAGCAGTTATACTTCTTATAAGTCAACCAGACATAAGCGATGTAGAACCTGCCATATATGTGTATTGATCCAATTTGACACAATGTTAGTACAGAGATTTGAAATTATTAAGATGAATATAAAAGTAGAATGGTAGTAGTGATAGTGTAATGAACAGAGCACGACTGGGACAATCGAATATATTTAAGCAAAAATTACAGACTATCTCACTAAATTCTGATAACCATATGACAAACAGTTAATTTGCAAATTAACAACCAATTGTTTCAATCTTCACTGTTCCTTCTGTAAATATCAGTCCATCTTTTCTAATTCCATTGTTCATGCATTTTCCCACCGATTGCGCTTCATTTCGGTCCTTTCCTTATCGGTCTTCTGCCAAAATATATTCTGTCTGATCATTACCATATACTACTTATATGGAAATAAGTAGACTACACCTCAATAGCACAAGTGATTAAGCACAGAAAATGATTTGAGAAAAACAAGTGAATTCTTGAAATAAGACAATTTTAAAACTCATGATCTAGGATAAAAGAAATAGTGAACCCATCTGCATCATTTCGATAGATAGATGACTCAAATCAAAAACTGGTGCATTTAGTTGCCGATTTTCTACACATTACTAGTGCCTTTTATCAGATAAATTACAATTGAATCTATTGGATAGGTACGTTTAAATATTCCTAAATTTTCACTTCATTGTTATCTCTAATATAATCGGATTTCGGGTTTAGTACATGATGAAAATTGACAAGTTTAATATACCTTCGTAGTTCAATCCAAATCACTTCATTATTATTCCTTTCTTTTACACTAGCTTGCTTTGACATATGACAAGACTGGCTGGAAGAGTTACATGGGAGACAGTGTGTTTAACATGTAAAACGTTTTAAGAGCAAGTAGCTGGTTTACATGGACAGAAAATATTAGTGAGTTGTTCTATTAATTTATTCGACACAGGATTTGGACATTGAAAGCCACAAGATATAGTCTGAAGCACAATTCTCAAAGACTAAAAATAACGATCTCAAACAGTTCATAATAAACGCCAATTAAGGTTTATTGATAGAAACAACACAGAATTTAGGGAACTAAGAAAACGTTTCGAAGCACTTCTGAAGGTCCGTGGGCGATTAACGTTTGTCGACTACATATATAAATAAGATGTTCTATCAAATAACATGACAAAAAGAGATTAGCGCTGCCGGTCTCGTTAGTTTATGAAGATGACCCGAGTCCATAATGATAAAAACTTAACACCGGTTACATATAGCATATCTGTAGTGTTGGCTTAGTAAATCTTAACCCGTAAGGAGATAGTGTTATGATTTCAGTGCAACCCATTTTAAATCGTTCCTGTCTATGAAATAAGAAATTTAAGTGAGGATACTGATTATTTATGATAATGGAGTCAGCAGTGAGATCTTAATCGCGATTCCAAAAGTTTACTATTTTTGGTAAAATTATTTTCAAGCGGTCTGTCCATCAAGGAAGGATCCTAATAAACCAGTATCCTACCTATAAGACAGATTTTCACTGTAGACAAACAAGATTACCACGTTCAAATACAAAATATTAACAAACACTACACTAATTTAGTCATCATCAGCACATAACCCAGGAAAAGTGTCCAGTGGCTCAAGTTTTCACATTATATCAACATAGAGATGAAATTAACAGGATGAACATCGAAAAATTCAGATTACAGCAAGTAGATTAAACTTAGAAAATATGCTTTGGAAATTTGGAATGAATTCATAGAATAGTGCATAAACATCAACACTTAAGGAAAGACACCGAATAGATGGATTTGAACCACTATAACCGATTCTAAGCTATCACGTAAGGTTCCTAACCATTGTTCAGTTATTCTGAGGACATCAATCAGATAATTTGGATCTGCTAGAGCGATCCAGACCAGTACTTGATGACTTTGTGGAATAGTGTTATTCTTTAGCTTGGTCACCCCTAGCTTTTTCTTAATCTACTTTTCTGTCAGACAGCATTGCGTGTCGAGGTAGGCGATGGCTGTGGATGCGTAACACTTATCCCAGGTACCTCAATCAAAGGTTCACGTGCTCACGAACTAATTACGCTAAGAGGATAGCATTAAACTTATTCATTTTAACAAATAAACATTGGTACAGGGAGGCACCAAATATATATGCGTCACGCAAATTGAATGATTTGTGTGAGGGCATTAAACTCCGACTATAATCATTTCAAGTTCCTAAGAATGTTGTCCATTCTTATAAGCATAAAGACGTCGCAACGCGTCATGTGTATATAAGGCAAACGATAGATGGTTTGATTTAATTACCCACTAGAAAAATATGAACAGAAAATTTTATATTGGCTAAATATGTATAGATTATACATGTGAAATTATTCATGTACACAAAATGATATCAAATTTGCATTTTTTTTCTAGTGCATTTTAATTATTGATCACTTATAAATTAGGATTATCAACTTCCGAGAAAGAACGAAGTATAATTTGTTTCTTTGAGAAACCACCTTCTGTTTCAACAATTAGATATCGATAATCGAATTCTTTAGATTCATTCTGATTAGATGAGAAAAAGAAAAAAAGAAGAAGAGTAAACTTTTTTATTAATGTACGACTATGTTTAACTGTGTAAATAAGAAACAGTAACCAGTTTTTCAAAAGGAAGTCATACATTTATCTACTTTCTAGTGGTAAAGTAGCATAAATTCCGGACATATATTTCTTATTGCAGACAATAGAACTGAAAATTTGGAAATGCAAACAGTAATTATTTATTTGAATACATAAACATTGGTACAAGCGGGCACCAAATATACATGCGCCACAATAACAATGAGGCCAGTAGCAGTTATCATTGAGCTGTGTGAGGGCTGTGATACAGCCCGAGTGCCCTAACCGAAGCAGGTGGTTTTCTTAGGGAGCAACAACCGGAACCTTTGACCTGAAGGTCTAGTCCACAAGGTAGTGTAGTGACGTCGGGAGATGCAGTCCCATGGTAGCCGGTGACCAACGATTGGTTCATACGCCATTCGTTCCATCAGGATCCTAGAGCCCATGTGCACCATTGGTTTGGAATCAGGGTTTTCCACGCGCCGGACATTCGCTTTCCGTCCTCTCAATTTCGTAAACAACATCCCCGCCGAGAGAGGGCAATGAGTAGGACTTCCCTGGTAGTGGTTGTATACTCGTGGTTATGTGAGAGCGTTTCAAGAGGGAGAGCTGACTCTCCTCACCTCGGCCGTACCAGGGGGGAGTCAATATAACGAGAGTGACTTATTCATTATGAAAAAGATGTATATCTCTGCGTTTTAAGTCGCAAAATAAGGTACGTGGTTTAAATAGACTTATGGGACTCAGTTTCATTGTATTCATTTGGATGGTTATTTAGCAAGCTAGTGAATAGAAAATTTTGAACAGGTGGAGGATGTATGATCTATCAAAAATGCATACCACTTCGAATTATTACAGTGAAAACAATTATGGCGCGGGATGTGAAGTGTACGGAACTGTTTCTTGCCAATAAACTAGTGTTTTCAGATTTAAGTAGCGATGAGTATGGTTCTCTACACAGTTTAGGAAACAATTAATGTTAAGTCTAAATAATAAGTTGTTATTACGAGGAAATTCCGATTATTGGAGAAAGATCGGATAATTAAAGGTTCACAGAAAAAAACATTTCAACCCAACTGTGGGAAATAATAATACGATGACTGTACCCCTGTTTCAGGAACCCAAATTCAACTACTGCTGAGAAACGCAAGTATCACAAAAATCATATGTATTAGGGCAGAATTACATCTAAAGCTGTGTCGCAACTTTATATAATCAATAGTACAGACATTGAAGGATAGATCTTACTTCTGATTTTATTTTGAGGAAAGACTAATTGAAAAATGAACAATAATTGAGCGAACAATTGTTTTCAATAACTTCATCATCAGGCTCTACAGTGATAAGTCCATAGTTATCATAATATTTTACAAAGTCCAAAATGAGGCATGTATTAATTAATTGTATTAATTAATTATATGTTAAAAATGGTAAACGTTTGCATCTGTTACGACATATATATATACTTTAAAATTGTGTTATTTGTAAATTAGAAAGGTCATTTAATAAAGGTCAAAGTGATTTGTAATCAAGTGTCTAGTCACAATCGATTTAATAGTAATTTCGAAAAAATGAAAATGCAAAAAAATGGTGTGAATAAAATTCATAGTAGGAGAATTTCATTTTGTCAATTGCGATAATAATGATAAATAGTAATAGCAATAATAATAATAAGATTGTTGTGTTAATATATGTAATAAAAGGAGTGTTATCAAGGTAATTATGATAAACGAATTGGGAATGATGGATGTGAAGATTAAGATAGAGGTGATCAACAGAGAAAAAGAAAAAAAAAGGGAGGTTTATAATATTTAGTTTAGGAATTTGGTGATCCAGTCGTAGGCCAAGGTAAACATAGTGGCTGGATATACTTTTTCTGGATGCATAAGTTTGGTTTTCTGGAGTTGATCCAGATGGCTTCGGCTATGTAAAGTAATCGTAATATAGCTCTTTGAGGAAGAGTTTTCGGAACTTGATATAAAACAGAGAAGGCTTCCTCTATTTTGATATGATGTTCACTGTCTACCAAGTGAGAAAGGGTGGCGCTGTTAATGGATTTAGTGACTCCTTTTCCCAACCATGCTGGTACATGTTCACGAATACGCAAGGATAAAGCCCTCTGAGTACGGCCTATGTAACTAGCTCCACAGGAGCAGTTGAATTGGTATACACACATTGTCAAATTAATCAATACATGCCTCATTTTGGACTTTGTAAAATATTATAATTATGGCCCGACCGTTGCTGCTACCTTGACGTGGTGGTCGGGCTTGCCTATCGTGATGATCCAATCGAGCTATGCTGGCTGGAACAATCGTTCCTCAAGGTCCTACCATGCCAGACAGGTCGGTTGAAGAGCGGTGAGACTAAAAGCAACAATCCCAAGGTCCGAAGGCGAAGTCGTACTGCTGACTGTACAAAGGTGTGAAAGCAGTAAGGTGTTTCCTTCAGACAACCAGCATGACAGAGATGCTGCCTTCCCACAAGGAGGGGTGGGGTTAGAAAAGGTCGACCCTAAAAATGCACACCTCGCCTTATCCCACGGATTTCCGTCTCCGGCGGTAAGGACTTTTGAAGAACGGAGCTAACACGTCAAAAATCCCTCACAAAAAGGCCGTGCGTGACCGGCCTCAAGCAGTTGTCCCTTGGGCACTGCGGTCACGCTCCCAGGTCGTTCAGACCAACACTAATCCAACTTCTTTTTCAGGTCCCTCAAGAAATACCCTTCCACGGTGTGGGCAGCCGGGAAGTGATACTAGCCCTCATACCCTTAACTGCACACGAGACCAAGTTGGTCACTTTCAAATCCTTCCTACACCTCCTAACAACTCTCTTATCTCCACGACTAACTCTTCCCACGTCCTTTTATCACATCGCGCCGCTAGGGCAAGCGATTCGAGTACACAGAACGTTATTCCTGGTCTCCTGAAACCACGCTCTAAACTACATGTAGGAACTTGTAATGTCCGAACATTGTGCCAAATAGGACAACAGGCTTCCTTAGCTAGGACTCTAGAATCTTACACCATCGATGTGTGCTGCGTCTCCGAAACGCGCATACAAGATCCGAGTAGTGTCATTCATTTGACCGCACCTAATCAAAATAAAGATTCATCTCGATACGCGCTTCGTGTATCTGGAAGCCTTGATGCTGCTTCCTGTGGCCTCGCTGGAGTAGGTATAGCATTAAGTCCTAGGGCAGAACTAGCTCTTTTAGACTGGATCCCAGTAGACAGTCGTCTATGCGCTGTCCGACTAAACGGATCAGTAAGGACTCGGAAAGGTAGGGAAACTCGTCGTTGCCTCTTCGTCGTCTCTGCCTACTCTCCCACTGACTGCAGCCCAGACGATATAAAAGATGAGTTCTACAGGAAACTTTCTGACCTTCTCCGAAAAGCTAGGCGTTCTGATGTATTAATAGTAGCAGGTGACTTTAATGCTCAAGTAGGTAAACTAAGTGAAAGGGAAAGACACCTGGGTGGATCTTATGGTGTCATGGTGAAAAGAACAGATAATGTTGCAGATATGCTCAGATAACCGCCTATTTCTTGCAAATACTAACTTTAAGCATAAAGAAAAACATCTTTTGACATGGCGACCCCCGAATTCGTCCCAACGTTGGACCCAATTAGATCACATCGCTATCAGCCACCGATGGAGGGGCTCGATAGAAGACTGTCGCTCATTCTGGGGCACATGTTTAGATTCAGATCATGCTCTAGTGCGAGCACGTATCTGTCTGCGTCTTACTGGACGTAGGAAAGACATTGCAGGGAAGCCTCTAAGGGTTCTACTTAATGATAAGCAAGCTAAGAATATATTTCAGGAACAACTGGTAAAAAGGTTAGACAGACATGTAAGTTGTGTCCACCCCGAAGCAGCGTGGAATGACATCCGAAAAGCTGTGGAAACAGCTGTGATATCCGCTAGTAAGGTAAACCATAGCGTTAGGGAGAAACAATGGATCTCGGCAGCATCTACCGCACTGATAGATGCTCGTAAACTCATCCCACCTGGCTCTGAACATAACGAAGAGCGGAGTCAACTTAAGCGCAGGCTTATAAGAAGCCTACGTAATGATCGTGAACAGTGGTGGGTAGCGAAAGCAAGAGAGATGGAAAAGGCAGCGGCAATAGGCAGCTATTCAGACTCGTTAAAGAAACCGGTATTAGGAACCGGAATATCAGTGAAACCATCTCAGATAATGATGGGCATATTATTCCCTCTCAATCCAGGAGATTGGATCGATGGGCAGAACACTTTAGGGATCAGTTCAACTGGCCTTCAGCCACACTTCAATTACCCACGATCCCCAGTCGTCCTGAATGCCAAATTGATGTAAGTCCTCCAACCCTCTGTGAGGTTGAAAAAGCTATAGGAAATCTGAAGCGAGGGAGAGCAGCAGGCCCTGACAGGCTGACCCCTGAGATTTTTAAGGATGGTGGTCCAGTACTAGCAGTGAGATTGACTGAGGTCTTAGGTAGAATCTGGGAACTGGACGTAATTCCATCTGACTGGTCCTAATCACTGATTGTGCCAGTCTATAAGAAAGGACAAAAGTCCTCCTGTGACAATCACAGAGGGATCAGTTTGACTAATATAGTGTCTAAAATATTAGCTTCAATAATACTAGGTCGCCTAACCAAAGCTCGTGAAGAGCAGACTAGAGAAAATCAGGCTGGTTTTCGACCTGGACGTGGTTGTATAGACCAGATATTCACCCTACGTCAGGTCCTAGAACATAGACATACATTCAGACGTCCCACAATAGTAGTATTTCTTGACCTTAAGGTGGCATTTGATTCCGTTGATCGTGAGGTTCTATGGCAATGTTTGTCACTGAAAGGAGTACCAAAGAAGTACATTAACCTCATAAAGGCTCTCTACTCGAACACAACTGGTCGAGTTAGAGCATATGGCGAACTGTCATCAGAACTGATTACCTCAAGTGGCGTTCGTCAGGACTGTCCACTCTCCCCATTCTTGTTTAACTTTGTCATTGACATACTTTTAGAGATAGCACTTTCATCAGCTAAACCTCCAGGAGTTGAACTTTTACCGGGAGATTCACTTGTTGACTTAGAATACGCCGACGACATAGTTTTACTCGGTGAGGACGCTGACAACATGCAGAGTCTTCTGACCACTATAAGCAACTATGCAGGCATGTTCGGGATGCGATTCTCTCCCTCGAAGTGCAAAATGTTACTTCAGGATTGGGTTGCAGCGACACCTGAACTAATGATAGGGAGTGAAGTAGTTGAGCGTGTAGACCACTTCACTTATCTTGGGAGTCTCATCAGCCCTTGTGGTCTGGTATGTGACGAAATCTCAGCACGGATACAGAAAGCTCGTCTAGCTTTCGCCAACTTGCGTCATTTATGGCGTAGGCGAGATATCCGTCTAGCAACCAAAGGACGGGTTTACTGTGCAGCAGTTCGCTCCGTCCTACTTTATGGCAGTGAAACGGCCAATAAGAGTAGAGGATATTCGTAGGCTACTAGTGTTCGATCATAGGTGTCTTCGAAGCATTGCTCGTATATCCTGAGACCACCGGGTAAATAATGCAGTTGTTAGGAAACGAGTACTAGGTAGGGATGGCAAATCGATTGATGAAGTAGTGAAACTTCATCAGTTGAGATGGCTGGGACATGTGTTACGTATGCCCGACCACCGACTACCCCGACGTGCAATGTTTCATGGTGTAGGAGTAGGTTGGAAGAAAGATAGGGGTGGCCAGACCAAAACGTAGCACAAATCAATGAAGTCACTGACAAGTGGACTGGGCCATGTTGGTAGGTTTAGACTACCTGGTTGGGATTCGCGAGATGACAGCAACCGATGGTTAGAGACCTTGAATGACATGGCTCAAAATCGTTTGCAATGGCGAAGGTGCATCCACTCTTTGTGTTCTACCAAATTCTAATCTTCTGAATTCCTCATGTCTTTATCTTTTTCTCTTTCCAAATTTATTTCGCTGTACTATACTCCTTCAATAATTTCTTCAAACCCTAATCTTTTGGATTTCTGATTATATTCCTACTACTTCTACCACTATGGGATTTGAATCGACAACTGCATCTCTGTGCTAATGTGGTATGACAACTCGAACTGATGTACGTACGTACGAAGTTCTACGTTGTGACTGACTTATAATTATGGACTTATAAAACTGTAGAGCCTGATGATGAAGTTATTGAAAACAATTGCTCGCTCAAATATTGTTCATTTTTGAATTATCTATGGGGATTTTTAAACTACTAAAAAGACTAATTGCTTGGAATTTTATTGCTTGGTTAGTGCTTCTTAATGGTTATTTTTTTATAGCCCAAACATCCTCGGATGTTTGTACTTTTTCTCTATTCGTCCCTAATAGATGTGTAATTTCTGATATCGATTTTAAAATTCAACTGAAAACTAAGTGTAGTTAATATGTCCAACACCCTTACTACACATGCGAGTGCAAAATGGAGTTGAAGGACAATTTAATGCTAAAAAAACAATACATGGTGAACACTTTTTGAATATAGATTTTCACTTTGCCTAGTACCCTGGAATATCATAGCGTCCCAGTTGAAGATATCTATGCTGCTTGGATATTTTAGATTGAATGCTTTTAGCAAATCAGCCAAATACGTAGTTACCCAGAAAAAGGTGAAGGGTAGATAAAATACCGAACCTTTCAGAAAAGTGTAATACTCCCAGTTGATGTGATTTTTCCTAACAAAGAGGATTGCCAACAAAAGGAAGGTTGTATTAAAATGAACAGACAGAAAGCAAGTTATTGTAAGGTAATCAAATGTTCTGGAATAAGAGCAGAATAACTTGCCTTGAACCATATCATCCGGGACCTGTAGTCACAGGCTTTTTCAGTCTCAAAGGAGCAAACTAGGAATCTTATTCTTCTCATACCAGCAAGCAGTAACTTCATTGGTTAGTTTTGTGCAGGGGCTTAAATTACTATGAAGTATATTATTTCCAGAATTTCATTCATAAGGATTGTTTTAAGGGGTCGTATTGGGGATGTGACATTGGTAATTAGTCAAGATAAAATTTGAGTGTGAATAAGCTATTGGTTCATGAGATTACGTAGGGAATGAAGGGTAGTTGCACTGGATTAATATTTGTAGACTAGTTACATGTTGGATTAGGTCCTAGAGACTGTGCAAATTAATAATTTGGAGTTAGGCATGATTCAAAGGCAAAAACGATGGTGACTGTGATGTAATTTTCCATGTTCGGTATGAAATGTCAAATTAACCTTAGAGGGAAATTAAATCTCTGATTATCTTATCTGAAACATATTGCCGTTTCCACTATTATTGTCAGAATTCCAACCTCTTCACCTCTTAGTAGTGTTATTACTTATGTGGCACAGTTTATAAGTGCTCTAAAGTACATAACAATTGTTTAAGTAAAAAAAGAAATTAGCACACCTCTACCAATGATTTGGCACTAAAAAAAATGAAGTCATAGATAAATATGCCATTTTGATTTGCTATAGATCCCAAAAGTGGTAGTAAAGTAGTACAAATGAAGCACCACTTTATTGATCTAAAAAAAGGTTTATCACAAAGTACACCAAAGTGAGAGATTGATGCCCTAAATGATATTGTTATGGGAGTATGAGTTGACTTTAGAAAATACTGGGATGACTGATTTTGAAAAATGGATAATTCCCAAGGAAACTGATCCTTATATCGTGGCTGAATGGACTTCAAAAGACAGAACCAGTGGTCATTCAACTGCACTCATAATAAACTTTTGGGATGTTATTTAGGGAAATAACCACGAATTACTTAACAAATGGCCATTAATTGAATAAGAGTAAACATAAAAGACCAAAAATGATTATCGAGGCCTATAATTTGCTCATTATTTAGGTTGTTTATTTATTCCAGATTTGAAATAATATCTGTATCAGTGTTCCTTTATCTTAGAAGGAATATACTCAACTGTCAAACTGAGATACAAACGTTCTCAATAATACTTTTAAAATTAGCAGCGATTATCGGTGAATGTTGAAGGCAACTCACTTCTACAACCTCGAGATAAACTACACCAGATTCCAAATTGCCTTTAATGTAAAATTTCATTGCCATATGCAGTCGACCTTTGTCATCATACCATGAGTCATAGCTAGAAGTTTTGTGAAAAAGAAAATTAAGAGTCAATCGTCGATATAGATAAGGAGTTACGGAGGTGCAGTAAGCTAGTTAGTCAATTAGACGATGATATGCGTTAATAATGTATTGAATAGAGGTGATCAAACCACTTGTCTTTTAAACAACTCGGACGTTCAAATTCTACTTCAACTAACACAGCTTGGAAAGTCAAATAGTGTCACTAGTCCCCACATAGTGTGGGCCAAAGCTAGATTAGACGACAAACTGACTGGATCAACATAAAACCTGAAATAACGATGGCGGTTAGTGATGTGAAACTAGATTGTAATACAGTACTAACTGATACATGTTGAACGATTTAGATAACGTAATTAGAGTATCATCCATAAAATGTCTTATTTCATTGGTTTTTCATCAGAATCACAAAATCCAAATGAAGTTACCGTATATGAATAAGTATAGTATGTTTTGGTCACTAGCCGAATGGAATTGATGTGCTACTTAACCATTTAACATTACCATAATCTTAATCTAACTTTCAGAGCATATTAAACAATAAGAATACTTCACTCTAAGGATTCAAAAGAAGTCAGATCTTGTGAACAATTCTCACCTATCTATTTCAAACCAGGACACAGTAAAAAAAACACCTCCCTTAGTTTGTAGTCTTGTTATTCAGTGAGTATTCTCGTAAGTAAAACGATCGATGTGGACTACAACTCACGAACTTATATTTACTGGTGAAAACCAACACATAGTTCATGTGACTTTTTTGAAGTTGAATTAATATTGACTTGCTTTCTCTGAAAATTTACCTAACTAAATGCTAGTGTTTTAGAAATAATAAGCTAGAACGGTAGTCGACGGATCTTTTGAGATTACCTAACCTTTAGGGGCAAAGATAGTGCTTAAACAATTCTAATAAGCTAATGCGACTAATTGAGGAAGATTTAACTGACTTTAATAACCTGGTGAAACGGTACACATTAATCCAGGTGACGTTTGTACACGAATCAGGTCAGCCCAAAAATATTTACAGCGAAGTTAGCTTATTGATAATTCATAACTGAACACAGATTTAAGATTAGAGACTGAAGGCTACGTCGGTTTTAAATTTGTGTAAATCAACTAAGCGGGAATATTAACGAGTTTAGGGAAAATTTTCCTACAAGATATGTCCGAGAACTGATTTTTCAACGTGATAAATATCAAAACAATCAATTCTCCTGTTCAGATTATAACGTACAAACTGACGGTGACAGTTTATAGCCACAAATAATCCGAACTTTGTAAAAGTGATGAATGCGGGAATTAAGTTACTGGGAAATAGTAAACATTACGAATCAAAAGATTATCGACTCTGCTGAGAGCGACAAATAATAGTATCTTACGCAATGTTTTGTCTTCTACGACGACTATCGGGGCTGGTACGAGCCTTGAGAGAACTTCCAAAAAGATTAAGCACCTGAGAAGTAATTAGATGGGGTCTTATTTCCTGGTTACAATATACGCACTCGACTGTCAGTCTTACAAATTTTGAAGGCATCGTCATAAACACCGTTAGGGCTCTTGGATGAGAAAAGTTCCTGAATTATTGCATATAAGATGGTGCCTATTCATTATAATTATTAGTTATGCAATCCATTTCTCACCTGTAAGCGCAAAGCCGCCGAGAACTATCGTAAAATACCCAACGTCTTTGGTCGTTTGTTTTACTTTTCAGAAATCCAAAACATTATTTTGAGATACCTTTCTCAGTTACATTAGCTGGTGGAAGGTTTTCACGTTTCGCTGCTGGGGTGACAGAGCTGTTACTCGCTGAACTAACTGAACGATGTAGCCTTACTGGCCATTTTCGAGAGGGGAAACGTGCGACGCTTAGCTGTACTGATGAGGAGAGTTTGGAGCAGATTAGCTTGACAAAACTTGTCATTTTATTTACGCCAATTTTCGCAGCCAGGACGATTTTTGACAGCGCTTTAGCCGTATCTCCCACCGTTGAAGGTTACTGAGCACCTGAAGGTCAAACTGTCGTTGAACGATTGTTGCGTCACCTTGACAGTTCTTAAGGTTTTACTGAGATCGTTAAATTGTCTGCAGTTAAACACAACTCGGTTTCGTAATCGTGGCAGTCTACTTAGCGACCAACCAGAATGAAGCGAGAATAATTGTATCCGCCATCCTTGTAAGTAATGGAGGTCGGTTTTCTTCGTTCGTGCTTTCTTCCGCTGTTCCTTTTGTATAGGTGCATAATTTAATGTTTCAGTGTGCTGAAACGCCACCGTTAAAGTAATACTCTCATTGTTGACGCAAATTTTCTCTGATTCAAATTTGTTTTCTCGGCTTTCGCTGCTGTCACTCAAGTCATTTTATTCCTACAGGAAATCCGTCTTGTTTCAGGTATTATTTTGTAGATATTGGAAATCAAAGTTATTTTTGTAGCTGCAATTAAATTCTCAAAATCAATAGATGTGTAAGTATTCAACATTAGATGCTGACCATATTAGTTTTGATGAACTCAATTAGCTGAGGGTGCTTGGTCATGCATCCGCACCAGATCACTGTTTGGAACGGCGTGCTCAACGTCTCCTGCGATCACTAGCCAGGTTAGATCAGTCACTCCTCGATATATCGATAGTCTATCAAATATATCTTCGGACCTCCTCGCTACTGACTTTTGATTTCACTGGGTGGGCGAGATTCAATTATAAGTGTTACTCACAAAGTGTTGTTAAACTAAAATACATGTGGTACCTTTAGTTTTTTGCTATTATAAGTGTTACTGCCGCCTGGGACTATAACTGTCCGCATGTTCGTTCCTATAGGAACGGTTATAACTGTCATTTATGATGTTATCGGGAGCAATGAAGGAAAATGATCTCCGGTTTATTATTTTCTTTCTTATTATGGACAGCCCAACCAATCAACCAGTCGAACTAATACTGAGTGCCCAGTAGTAGTGAATACCAGTAATGTTTTCGAAAAGATTATGAGGCACAAACACCTGACAACCCTGGACCTAATCAGAGACGCTATCGATCTATTGTAGAAGCTTTGTTATTAAAAATACGCCATACAACAGTGATAGATGAGTTAGACTCGTCACGTCGTGCGTGAAAGCAAGCTAAACATTGAAAAGCCGGGAATCCGCCAGCAGTATGCAGTGAATTTTTGCTGTTTTGGCCATTGAAGGAAGTCGGACAGCCGTGGTCAGGGATCTAAAGGTTGTAGTAGGGTCGAGTCGAGGACGGACTATGGTCACTACCACAATTCGACTACGCGCCCAGCAACGGCTTTGTTCCTTTGATAACTCGTAAACCAGGAGGCTTTAATTAATCCACATAAAGTATATTTATTGGCGATCTCGTGGTATCGAAAGAATACCGAGACGTGCCAACGAGTACAGGCAAAATGGACAGAGCGTAAGAAAGTTCGAACCGAACAAGGCGGATAACGGAACAAGAAGTGAGTCTGATGCAGTTAAACAAGTACAGTGAAACAATCACTGGTACAATTGGTTACAATAATAATAATTGTTTCTGTTATTCCAATCGTGTTCTTATCGAGACAGGCCGTCACTACAGGGTAACCAATTGTTATTATGTTCACTTTTTTGTAGATTAAAGCTTAACAGTCGAATAGTCATGTTTCTTTTGCCGTATGATGCCAACCGGTGCATAATAGCTTCATCTAAGATGTTCTCCAACCACCCTTGCGATGATAAGTCTGCGTCCCTATTCAAATTATTTTTGGACGACTGTCCTCTAGTTTGAATATTTGGTAATCCCAGAGGAACTCGATTTCGATAAGATCCGTAATACCAGTATAGCTTCCTCATACGGTAAGTTCAATTGTTCTTTCAAAATAGACAATAAGGTCCTCTTTAATGCATCTGCTAGGCTAATATCCGTATTCTATACTTCAGGTAATCGATGAAGATAAGTCGCGCCATGTGCGTCTGCTCCATATTACCATTTTACTCCAATTTTCAACTGTTATGTCTTACCTTTGAAAAATGAAATCGCTGTATTCAGTAAACACAAACTTATTTGCTTTAATGGAGGCAAGGGGGGTCATGACATGTTTAACAGGACTCTAGTGGTATTTTCACAAAAACGCTAAGCCAGCTCGTAGACCGATGTATGGTGCCATACGTTCCATTAATGTGGTTAAAAACGTTGGTTCCATATCATTTGAGTAAGCAACTATGAGATTAGACGAATGGGTGGTTAGGATGTGCTTAGCGTGCATGCAACCATCAATAACCGTGACACGTCATGGTGGTTGAGATAGATGAGTAGGCCTGAGTCTGTAGGCTTTCCAAGAAAGTAACGAAGATGTGCACTATATCACTTAAGTTTATCACATATAAACTAGGTACTAAGATGCTCGTGTTTCACAAAATTCTTACGACTGTCAACCTAATAAAATAAAATAGCATATATATATATATAGCGTATATATTTACAGCGTATCACGCTGTAACGCATACAAAACTTCACACTAATCGTTTTCTAGTTGTGACGATTAAGGATGCTAACGGAAATGAATGAATGGTTCTACTCATTGTCCATTATTACTGCATTCTTTCATCTGGAGGCTCTAATCACATTTCACTATCAACAAGAGCCAGTCTGAATTTATGTACTAATTTATCACACTTCTGTCTGTTCCATCAATTAAACGTGCCCACAAATACTTCATTATCAACAGAAATGGGAACAAGGAGATCATTTCTACAGATAGAATAAAACCAGCTATCTACGGAGCCACTCAAGTCAAAGAAGTCGACGCTGACGACCAACAACCCCTCCCATCGGTTACCGAAAGACCAGTGGAGGAGGACAAACTTAGCCTCTGACATTGTTTAACACGCTCTGGTAGACTTGTTAAGAAACCTAAGCGTTATGTACATTTTGTCAACTAGCAAAATCAAAAACATTCATTGATATACATTACATGGTTAAGTTTACTCAATTTTCTAATAAAAACGATTTATTTTCTCTGCATGTACATATAATTAATTACATCTCTTCACAACCACTTGTTTTACCAATTTTTTTTAATTATAAGAAAAACTGTCTTGATAATAAACGAGTAAACTGTAATTAATTATTCATTAACTGTACTCAAAAACAAACAATCCAATTTTTTATTTTATGAGTCTGCTAACAGTTTTGCACATTTTTAATAGTATTAGCAAAATCAAAACTTTGAACGCTAGTATTTCCATTTTATTTTGTATAGTTCTTATGTTATGCTACATCAATGCTAACTTCTACACAATAGCATATTTTATATTACTAACTTCCAGGTCATACCTATCTCCACCATTTTTTCCCGATATTACTGTAAATATTAGTTTTGTATGCATTTATATACCATATGATTACAATTTCTTTTTGTTTGTTATTATAATCAGTGTTACCTCCGGACACTCTGGGGGAGCTATGTGGAGATAGGTCTATTAAACCTATTTTATAGACAATTAATGATAGTTTTTGCATTCATTTTGTTTATTTTCACATTCTGTACATTTATCACCAAACAACTGTACTTGTTGTTTAAGTGTATGACCTTGAACACTTGCTAACTGACTTCCTGTCATTTTTGTATTCAACATAGCATGACATTGTAACTGCTCACAAACAAATACACTCTCGTACACTCATACATCGTTCTATTATGCTTGTGGATGTTATAACTGAACTATTAATTGACTATTATCTATATTTATAGACTATTGTGACATTTCCATTAAATTCTACGTTTGGCGAACCTACTGGACCCATATCTATCTCACTGGAATTATTAGTTTTCTATGATTGTGGATTTTCGGGACCAGGCACAAGAGAACGCGCAACTGCCAGTCAACTTAAGTAACATCCCTGAATATTTATTTGTGTTAATAACTTATAAGTTTTTTACTGTTACATAAACTTTTAGACGTAATAACTTCATTGCTATTTTTGGCTAACCTACTTTTTGATCCACCACAAACTTAATCCATGTTGTGAAGGTACAATCAATTAGTGTTCATCTAGACAAGCGTCGATTGTCTTCTTAATGATAATATATTTTTGACAGAGCGGGCATACACTATGTTTATAGGCATTATCAATAACTTACAGAACTAGTTTACAGACAAACTACTTTTCAAGTGAGTTTGTTCAATGGATAAAATCGATGAAAATAGATGGTACTATATTCGTGCAGATATATTGGGAAGTTTAGAACTAGGTTTGTGTGATAGCATTGCATTTTTGGTCCACAGCTTTGACTATGTGTTCAATAATTTCCTCGATGGCTCTTTGTAAGATGAAAATGTGGTTTATCGGGTAACAGTTATCCGCGCTGAGTATAGGCTCAATATTCAAAGTACGAGAAAAGTGCCGGAGACAAAGAATAGAATAAATGTTTTAGCAAGCAGAATAGGAATTTTTCAGCCACCAACTTTAATTAAATCGGCTGATGTTCCGTCATAATCAATTCCGAAAGGTTTTAATGACCACACTGGATCTCTCACAACACTAGGCGTGAATTTCAGGTATGCTATAATATACGTTTTGAAACTACTGGTTATACATTAGTCTCCATTACATCTAATTTATGTCTGTGCAAACGTGTTGTTAAGTAGTTCGAATAATTCTACTGAATCTCTTGTAAGCTCATCACTGACTTTTTGGACAGTAGGAATAACATATTGACCTTATAGCTGTAAATAATTCCCCAAAATCAATAGCTCATTAAGTGTTCGACATTGGTTGCTGACCACGTTGTTTAAGTGGACTTGTTTAACTGAAGGCTTTCGGTCATGCATCCGTACCAGATCACGTTTCAACACGGCGTGGGACACAGCTCTTACGTTTCATTAGCCAGCTTATAGAAAAGGTCCTCGATATATTGGTAACGAATCAAATATATCTTTCCTACCTCTCTTCATCTGACTTCTGGTTTCTATTCGACTGGGGAAAGAACGATTACAGAAGATACTACTGGTTGCTAGATGCCAAACTAGAATATCCGTTGCATCCTCATTGGTGAACCCGACGTGATCTGGTACACCAAGTCAATATACTGTGAGTCTATTCCATTTTGGAATATTACTATTCATTGTTATTCTTTATTTGAATTTTATATATTGTG